GATCCCGGTCACAAATGATGGCGAAACGTTAGGAAACAAAACTCCCAAACCATGCCCACACAGCCCGGAAGATCCACACCAGCCATTTTGTATGATAGCTCTGCTTGTGGAGGCAAGATTGTAAAATGTGTGTTGGAACTACTGCTACTATTGTTAGGTGGATCAGCACCAGCTTAAGCAGTCATAGTTACTGTTTCCATGCAAATGACTCCATTTAGGTCTGTGCCATTTAATATTCTAAAAATGACTTAGATAAAAATGCAAAGGGATTGCTGATGAAATCTGAAGATAAGAAAGGGTGCCACTATTGCAGATAAGTCAAGATTCAGAAATATCTTGACAGGCTGGAAGAACAGGTTGAAATTATTATATTCAAAGTCTGGCTTTAAGTATAAGAAACTAAAGTCAAAAGTATAAGATGGGGTGAGGCTAGCTTACTGTAGTACATTTAAAGAAGATCTAGATATCTTATTGGAGAATGTAGTTGCTAGAAAAGCTAATGCAAAACATAGTGTCAAGGTCACAGGAAATAAGAAACTTCCATTTTATTCTGCATTAGAATATCATGTTCAACTCCAAGCATCATCTTTTAAGAAAGATTGACAAATGAGTGCATCCAGAGAAAAGCGACTAAGACGAACAGCTGAAACAGCTGGAGAAAAAAGATTAAGGGAGACATGATCGCAGTAGTCCAATATCTGAAAGGCTATCATGCAGAAGACACAGCAGAGCCATTTGCTATTGCTTCAGAAGGGGAACTCAAATGAATGGAAATTGTGTAGAAGCAGATTTTTGCAAAATAGTAAGCGACTTTTTGTAATAGTAAGAGCTACTAATCAGTACAACAGACTGCATTGGAAAGGGAGCTTTCCTCTGATGGAATTCCTTAAGCCAGGGATGGGCAGTTCACAACAGCACCACTTTTTGCAGTCTGCAAATATTGGGAGTACAATTTCCTGCTAAAATCTCAATTAAGCCTTCAGTTACTCTTAGTACAGGTAAGCTGCAAAAAGGTTTACGTAGAGGACAAATTGCTCCCACCCATTTGTTTCATCTTGCAACATCATTACTCTGCCCTGGTGTTTTTCTCCTTACAAAAATTGGCCCCAGCGACTCATGATTTAAGCAGAAGCTGAACTGCTAACTGAGAATGATCTTAGCAGTGTATAGCATTGCAAATCTTGTACTGTGCAGAGGCTTTGATTAGATGATCTCTGAAACTCTTTCTATGGTTCCAGATTTTATACCTTTTAGTTCTATAAAAGTATATTTGTTTTGCCTGGTTTCCTATCAAAGATAGAAACTCGTTTTTTTGCCCCAGTTATGGATGTCAAAATAGTTATTTGGGGCATCTACTTATATTGTTTGGGAGAAATACATACTTCCCACTTCTTATTTTGGCCAAAACCTAGGGATCATTAGTAGAGAATATACTCTTAGATTCATTTATTTTCAGGGATGACTAGGAGAGAAACCATGAAGAGATAATACAATCTCTTGTGTAAATCAAAGTTGGGGTACTTTTGGCTGTTCACTCTTGCTGAATTACAGCTCCCAGAGTTCTACTTAGTAAGGCCAAAGCTGAAATATTCTGGGAATTGCAGGGCTGCAACATCTGGAGAGACTCTGGTTCCCCTCCCTGAGGTAGATAATACCAAATATAGATGAACCAATTCAAAATAAGTTCCTTATAGGCTCTCTTTTTAAACTATATGTTACAGTAAAGATATAACATATATCTGCCAGTGATTATATTTTCTTTCTTCAATCCATAAAGCTTTACATGAGGTATGAATATTAGAGACAAGTGAGGAAGAGGTTTTGATTTTAATTGTAGCCTGTTTACTTACCTGTGAGTAAAGAAAAAGTAGATAAACAGTTTGACTTACAGCATGTAAGGACCTGTAGACCATGCCTTGAACAATAGATCCTTTCCAATACTATAGTCAGTATCTGAGCCTCACAGCATCTTGAATAAAATTAAGAGAATATAGTTGGTTTTAATGCAGATTTGTAAGTGATCTTTCTATTGAGCAGTGAACAAAACAAGTCTTTTATGAATGAATGGGAGATGACACAGAACAACACAAGAATTATTTTACTTGCTTCCCTACTTGAATCAACCAATTCTATGAAAATAGTAGTCTAAAACCTAGTCTGTGACTTAATCAGAATTAAGTACTCTATAGTTAAGATGGTGCAATTAGAACTGTTTTCTTAGATAACAAGATGCTTTTTATTATGTTCTGTTGAAATGAATGGCTATCTACCATGGATTCCAGAAAACAGCTGTAGGAAACTCTAATTTGTTCCAGTCTGTGCCTGCAGATGTTTCCATATGGTACTTTGAATACTGGAAGAAAACAAATAGAAGCATGACATAAAGCACTGTAGGAAGATATCAAAAGTTACTCTTTTACCTGGCTTCGTAGCAGTAGAAATAGTTGATTTCGTATTGATTACATGGGATAAGAAATACAAAGCAGATTAGGTAAATATTTTTGCTAGTTAAAATTTGTCAGGATAAGGTTACGCAAGCTCACCAGGATTACAGAATTTGTCCATTACAGCCTGATGATAAATTCTGCATCTCTAAGAATTAAGATTGAAAAATGAAAGTGTGGTTGACTTATTCACCAAAGAGCGCTCATCCTCAAAATTACACCACTGCATTCTGGTTTCTGTTTACCCATCCCAGATATTCCATATCTTTTCACCACGCCCTAAATTTTGCTTCTGTTGCTCCACGGGATTCTAATATGGGGATGTATCAACTGCAGCTACCGGGATATATTGTGAAATATATTGTGAAACAGTTTGGTAGAAGATTATCTAGGGATATAGTGAGATGGACAAAAGCTGAGTTTTCTGAATCTCTTCATTATCAGTGCAAATAATGGATGGACATTTTCCCTTGGGCAAACTGCTGGATGAACGAGGGCATTATTCTTTTTTTCATGTAGTGCATGAAATTTAAATTTAAAATGCGCAATTTAAGCCTCCAGGCCTTGTGTGCTCCCCAGAGCCCATACAGTAATTGTGGCCAAATTGTAATTTTTGATGTGAGAGAAGTGGGAAATTATCCATATTGATTATTCTTAAAAATTAAATGGGAAGTTACCATGGTGAAAAGCAGAGGGCCAGCCTTCAAGCACAGTATTTCTTTCTAAGAATGCTTTTTGGCTGCACATGATGACAACGTGCAAAATATCTGAAAGTGGAGCTTCGCAAAATACGTTCGTGTGAACAAGGCACCTTTCTTCCAAAATCTTAAAACAACCATGTCCTTTACAAGGTTTGTGTGTTTCCTGTGAAAACTGTCCTCGTCTCCACATGCATTATGTACCCGGCCACTTGGCTTCACCGGCAGTATGTTAGCCCTGCGAGGTAGTCCAGAGAAGAAACACAGCCGGGAGTACAAGCAAGACTGAAAGTATTTCTCCCCTCCTTTCTTTTTACTCTCTGGAAAACTAGGGAGGGTCCCTTCTGAAATGTTTCCCATGCCATCCTCCGTTCTGTGGGCTGCGATATCTTTTGCATGCTGGTTGTCCAGTCTGTGGCTCTCCCTCCTGTCTCCCAAGGTCATTCCCACAGTCCCATGTTGCTTGTGCATATGCACACATGCACATACGTAGACAACCAGGGAGACCATTAGCAGCTGAGTAAGCTTTGTAAAGTAGCTGGCTACTATAATACTGCGAAGAGGGGTTTCATGTTTCCTAACGCACTTTGAGAAGTACTGCTTCCAAATGCTTTGCATCGCCCTAAAAATGATAAGAGAAGTGAAGTCCAATATTCTGTTCAAAAGTATGAGCAAAAAAAAAAAAAAAGCCAGAGAAAGCATCCTGGGAGGACAGAGGGAATGATGAGAAGCAACAGGTCAATTTGCTTCTGGTAAATGAGTCTTTTGTAACTGTCCATACCCAGAGTAGCAGCCTTTTGGTAGCAGTGCCTGTAAAATGCTCTCAAAATTCAAAGTATGCTCCCTAACCCAAATTGCTTGGGGATCCCATCCCAAGACTTCTAATTCAAATAACTTTGAGGGCTTTTTAAAAAAAAATTAAGTTTTTAACAATTTTTAAAGAAAGTTACACCAGTGGTTAGCAGTCAGGGAAACAAATGGAAGGGAAGGGGAGAATGCAACACTGAAAAGTTTTTCCATGATGTTTTTACTCATGGAATAAAATGAGTAAAATAAAATAAAATCTAATAACTTTATTAGTTATTTTTTTAACTTGGGATTGGTTTTTTTTGTATTCTGGAAATATTAACATTCTGTCAATTATCTTTTTCCGTCACATACACACACACATGCACACACCTTCTCTGGAGAAGCCTTTACCCAACTAGGTTCCTCTATTTGGCTTTAGAAATTGGAAATTCATTAATTAAAAACAACAACTATCAAGCTTGTCTGGAAGCAATACTTCTTGGCCCATGACATAAATACTGGAAGCAGTGGAGGAAAATAATTCTGTGTACTCTCAGAGATATAACACATAACAAGCAGCCTGTATTTAACTCTGCCTTATATTCCTCCAAGTTATTATTTCTATCAATTTTTAAAAACATTTCCTCTTTATTTTAACACATTGCAGAACTAATTTCCTGTACAAGCAGTTATATTCACTGTAGCTATGATTGTGGACAAACACCTGAAGGGCCTATTTGCTTTTGTCCTGAAGGATCAGTTCTCCAAGTAGATGGAAGAACATGTACAGGTAAATAAATATATTTGTTTTTCAGTGCTGATGCTGAAAATGTTGCTATTGATGACAATTGCTAGATGTTGAATCAGGTTAATATTTTATATCTGATAATTAACAGCATTTAACATTTGTATTGTACTTCAGCTTTCTCTAGCCTGGTGTCGAACCAACCTGGCACTGGAACTGTTAGATTAATTCCCATAATCCTGAGTTAAACTGGCTATGCTGTATAGGACTTGTAGAAGCACAACACATCTAGAAGAGTCCAAGACTGGAAAAACAAGAGTGTTTAAACCATTTCCTTTACATTATTTCAGTAAAAACAGCAGCTTGAACCTAGTTGCCATGGAGTGGGGGTGGGGGAATCAAAGACACAATATCTTTATTAGGCCAAGTGAAAATTAGGTCAAACTAAAATAGTTGCCGGCTTTCAAGAACTCTTGAATAGATAAGATGGCTAGAAGACAGAAAAAGAAGAAGGGAATGAAAAATGTGTGCTACAGAAATATTCTGCAATGTAAAGACATTAGTTTTTAGATGGAATAAGGGAGATCTTGAGATATACAGGTACAGAGTGTTAGTTGCTAGGAGTTCTCAGAAAGCCTTCTAAGAGACAGAAACAAACATTTTTATAAGCTATCCATTGTTTGGAATATAAATTCTACTATTAGGTATTTTAGTGTATCTGTACAGTAATGAACAGTAATGAAACTACTTCGTGAGATATTCAGATCTCATGATCGGTGAAAAATAGAAGAGATATCAAGCATGCTGTTATAATATTAACAAAACAGGAGATAATTTAAGCTCCCACATTAGGTAGCAAAATTGGGAAGAATTATCTAAGGATGGGAAGGAACTATCTAATGCTGACTGAGAAATCTGGGAGTTGTGGTCAACTGAATCTGAAGGACACTAGGTTGGAGGAGGCTGGTCTAAATTGCACTGTTACAAATGTTTGAAATAATATATCCCTATTATCCATTACTGAACCATATCAATTTCTGCCCAAGACAGACAACTTAGGAAGTAAAATTCCTTTTCACGGGACTTGGAAGATTCTTCTGTTATTGATGTCCTGGTGGGACACAGTGAGGTAGAGAGGGTTCTTACTCCCACCTCTATCCACGCTGGTAATCCCTAAATAAATAACTACCAGCCATAGTCTAGCTAGAGATCATCTCTAAACGGTATTTATCATAGTGCTTAATGAAGCTTAGCAGAGTGTACCATGCTATTTCATGTCAATCTAAGAGCAGTGACTTTAGTTATAAAGATCAGCTTTTTAAAAGTGAATCTATTCTAGGTTGTACATCTCCTGATAATGGTGGATGTAGCCAGATCTGTACATCTCTGAGTCCAGCAACTTGGGAATGTGGTTGTTTTCCTGGCTATTATCTCCAGGAGGACAAAAGACATTGTGCTGCTTTAAGTAAGTATCATGATCTTTGTGTTCATCCTCACATCCTTCTAACTGAGGCATGGAAATGGCCTGCAAACTACTTTTAAAAGACATGTACTGGTGTCATTTAGGGTTTTCTCTCTTCTCTCACACAATTTTTGCCACATAAACAATCTGTGAATCTTCCTTGAAGATACATGGATGACATTGTCAGGGGCTAGGATCTTCCTGCCTCCTATTGGCCAGTTTAAGCTGATGCTGGCACAACCCTTCTATCAGTCACAGGACACTGATCCACGGACATTTTGGCAGGGGTTGCAGGATGGTCTAGACATGTGCTTTTTGTAGATGCATCTATCTGTGTAATGCTTGACTGGTGTTTCTGGTTGTTCTGAAATAAGCTGCTCCAGCACATGGTGCACTTTGCTAAAATGTATATAGCCCGATATAAGAATGAATGGAACTTAAAGAGATCTAGGTAAGATCTTCCTTATTTGCTCTTCTGTCAATATAAGTGGGGGCTGCTATACCCCATGGACACCCTTGATGAGACAGGATGAAAAGCATAGTTAAGCAAGAGAGCTCAGCTTAATGTGGGAAGCACTATTGAGTGACAAGTTGGGGTTTAATGGAAGACTGAAATTAATAGGTTTTTTTTTTTTTTTGCTAAGGAGACATTTACACTTATATTTATATTCCATTTATATTTATTATGAAGTTCTATTTTTTTAACCAATTATTAAGAGCCATATTGTATATCTCCAGAGCAGGAAGCCCACCACAAGTAATTCTTCTCCTGGAAAACCAAAATGGAAGTTCAGTATGTAACAATATTCATCCACCTGTTTTGAAAGATATAAGCAACTGCCACAGTTGGCATATTCATTGGCAGGTTATAATCTTGGTTATTTATAATAATTTTGTAATTAATGTAATTTGTGATTAGTGCCAAGTAAGGATTTGAAATGAGAAGAAAAGAGGGAAAGCATATACCACAACTTGCTTCTTTTCATTAAAGGTTTTTATCTACAGACTGTTGAAGTAGAAGGGTTAACCTGCAACTACATTTGTTACAAACAGGACCCAAGCCTTTTCTGTTGTTTGCAAACAGTCAAGATATCCGTAGCATTGCTTTTGATGGGACAGAATACTCAAGTATCCTTGCCTGGCAGATGGGAGTAGTCTTAGCTCTGGACTATGACCCGGTGGAAAATAAGGTAAAGCTTTTTTTTTTTTTTTTAGAGAGAAAGGATTTCAGAATATTGCAAGGATCAATGCTCTTAAGCTTTTGCATTTTAACTGCTTAGTTCCTGGTACTCCATGATATGGATTTTTTTTCCTTTTATTTTTGTAAATGTGTCCTTTTATAAATTTTAATTGTATATTTATGTGTTGTGAGCCACCCAGAGTCCCTCACTGGGGGGAGATGGGCAGGGACAAGTTTAATTCATACATACATACATACATATGGATAAACTGCTCCTTATCACTACAGGTCTCAGAATGAGTGACGTGGGCTTCCTAAAACAACGAACACTTGTCAGCAGTTATATGCTAACATGAAATATCAGTCATATCTATACTTTCCACATTTGTTTTAAAGATACTAAATGATTCCCTCTATTGATATTCAGGCATGCCTTCGGTGGTTATGCACCTTGATTAAACCCTATCTGTGCTCATGAGGGGAGTTTGGAAGAAACACAAGTTTGGCAGAAGTACAAAACACAATCTTAACGTTGTAAATAGTTGAATTATTTTTGGCGCAAATAAATGTCATTAATGTGAAAAGTTGTGAGAAAAAGGAATTCTATCCCCGACTAAGAAGTGCAGTAATCATCTACAAGCCTTCTGTTTCCTCATTACAGATATATTTTGCCCATACAGACCTGAAGTGGATAGAGAGATCTGATCTGGATGGCACCAATCGTGAAAAAGTTGTTTGTGACGCAAGTGAGAGACCAGAAGGGTTAGCGCTGGATTGGATTAATCGTAAATTGTTCTGGACTGACCCGGGGTACGCTTTTTGCATAGATACCGTGGGATACCTGCTGCTAGTAAAAAAGATGGTGGTAAATAAACAACTGGCCAAAAAAAGAGAGACTAATTGAAATCTCTCTGAAATGGCAGCATGCATTAGAGCTCTTAAGACTAGCCCCAGCAGAAAGACTGAGGGATAAAACAGTCTTGTAGAGACCCTTTGCTGAACAATATGCTAATCAGAAGCACTCACGTAAAGCAATTTCTTTATTGAACGGTGAATGTATATCCTTCTGAAAAAAGCAAGAATCCAAGGAACGGGAAAAAAGCACACACACAATCAATTGTGTCTTCAGTCTGAGGTGCCATTTTTTATTCACTTAACACAGTGTTGTCCAAACTTGGCCACTTTAAGATGAGTGGACTTCAACTCCCAGA